CAATTTCCCACACAATCTGGAGATCTACAAAACAACTGCGGTGCTCTGAACATTTTAAAATGGAATAGAATGCTAAAGAGATGCTTCCATAAGCTATAATGGATAAGTCCAATGGAGTAATTGTACAATTAATACCTCAGAAACCGTAAGAAATGTATAAAAAGAATGTGAACAATTTTCGTTCATGAATAATTACAAATAATATTAAGAAGGTAAATGAGGATGTAAGGTTGACTTATTTATCAGACTTCGTAAGTGGTTCCAATTACAGATACACATTTTGAAAATAATAATAATAATAATAATAATAATAATAATAATAATAATAATAATATTTTTGTTACAATGCAAGCTGCCTCATGGTCAAAATATTCAATGATTAAATTCATTACATTGGTTCTTTGTAATACTGATATTTATAAGTTGTATAAATTGATAGCGTTTCTGAAGAAAATCGATGAAGAGTGTACCATTACTATAAATAGTTTCTTCCAAGAACCAAAGAGTGTAAAATTCCAAATTTTAAGATATTTCACCAAGTTATACCCTACAACTGACGCTATCAGCTGGGGCATCTGATTTCGAAGGCGCCAAACACGCGGCGTGGGCTCCGGCGACATGCGGGGAGGCCGTCAGGCGCGCTGACATAGGCAGTTGTACGCACCGAATTAGAAATAAAAAAATAGCTTACGCGCTTCCACAAATGCCAAATGTTCTTGAAAACATTGTAACTTCCAAACCAGTTTGACTTCTCAACAGAAAGGTTCAATACAGAATAACAGTGAATACAGAAATCAGTCATAGCAGTGCGGCGCAATTTTAGCCGATTGCAGTGAAATAGATAAATTGTTTAAATCAAGGTTATTAAGTTGAGTTGAGTTTTTAACTTTAATCTTATCTAAATTAAAAGTATTTTGATAAATATTTCCATAGCTACGGCTATTTGAAAATGTCTATAACTATGGTTTTAACGGGAAAATGGCCATATTCGGACTAATGTGGCCCACTTAGTCTTAAGTAATGTTTGTTGGTCATAAAATTGTTGCCGAATAACATGGACACCACACCAGCCAAAAATCAGTTAATAAAAATAAGGTGTATATGGGGTTTGTAGCATCACTACACCAATTTTAAAAGTGTTTTATTGGTGCCAATGTTCTTGCATCGAGAACTAACTTTTTGTTGCTCAGCCATTGAATCATATTTTATTCGATTCAGGCTCATATACAATTATAAGGGTTTCGACTAAAGAAAATGAACACATGACATAACCAATATATTTATTAATAAGACGTTGGCGAACCATTGCTCTTAGAACAGCTCCAATTTGTTGCGGATTAGATTTGTAGAGCGTCTAAATAGTTTGCTAATTGTTTTATCGCTAATGAAGCTGGAAATCTGCTCTAATATGCCCCACGTTTCACTTATAATTTGATACGGCGATTGTGCTGAACAGGGAAGATGTTTGATGATGTTCTGCAAACCACGTCCTTTTTTTCTATCGCCGAATTATCATCTTTAATATGGAAGTGTTTAGCAACAATATGATAGTCACTAAGCACTTCATTGTTGAGGATATATTCTACCACATAAAAAAATGAATGTGGTCCGTGAGGATAACAATAGGACCAGCTGATCACCACGAAATTACTGTGCGAATCATAACGGAACCTCTCCATATGCTTGACTGTACGAAACATACAGACCAGATCGTAGGCTGTTTTGGGGTTCTCCAGAAATAATTCCGGCCATTTGTAGGAAACAATGTAAACGATGATAAGTAGTTTGTCACATCGTGTCCAAGTTTTATGATCGTAGCATCACATCTTTCGCTTTCCTTTACGAAGGATCTCGCAAGTGTAGTTCTTCCATGAATGTTGGCTTTGGAACCCCAAGCTGTACTGATTTAGTGGGGACAAATATTACTAAAGTGAGTGTTATGTTCCGCAGTCACTTCCGACGCGGTAGTTTTACGTTGTCTGGCCACAATCCTTGTTAATGTTCGTCGGTCTCTATTAGTTAACTTCTATTTTCCTGCACTATTCATCTTCGTCGATGATGTATTACCATGCGTTGTCTACGCTGTTTTTACTGTGACCACTGTCGCTTGTGAAAAGTTAATCAGTTCAGCTGTTTTCGTTCCAGATGCTCTAAACGCGCACCAACGATTTGTCCTCCTTCGAAATGTGGGAGATCACACATTTCACCGATGCTTGTGTTCATTGTCGCAGACAAAAGTCTCCAATACAGACATCAAAAGGGGACATGTCACCTGTGCAATACAGCCGTGTCGCAGAGTTGTCTGCAGTGGTGCCAGCATTGCAGGTACTATATTGCATGCCGTTCATATTTTTTTTGTCCAATTAAGCATTATTTTATGTTTGCAATTTTAAATGTGTCTTATTACACAGGTGGTCAGAATTCCAATTTTCTTCTTCCCTTTGGACTTAACCAGTACTTTTTACATTCCCGTATACGTACGGATATACGGATAACAGGTGGCAAGAGTTAGTGGCATGTCCGAGTAGGTAGCCGAGACCAAAGGAAATAGAAAATTAATACTAATAGAATACCATTCTTTAGTAACTAGTTTATTCTGTGGACAAAAACAAACCAGCCTTTCTAGAGAGTAATAGAACACTGTAGGGTTAGGAGAAAGATGACGCCGTAGGATAGAGGCAATTTTGGTAGTTTTCATTATAAAAGTATAATCTAGTATCCGATAATTAACGATTTTTTTCCGGAACCGGTCAAACACCAGACATGTACTGACGAACTTTTATCAAATGGAATCTCTCCATTATTTTATTGTTTGCATTTTATTTATAGGGTTTTGGAGGCCCTTTAACTGCTGACGTTACTGAGACCCACGCTAGCATCTAATGTGTGGATGAGGAGAGGAGTTAGGATCTAATGGTGCTGATGAAGTGAATGATGATGAAGAAATTCCACATGGATTGGGCAGAGATCGAACCCCGTTCCCAGCAGTGGAAGACATATGCGCCAACCCTTATCTCAATCTCATCTCGCCCTCCTCTAGGCTCTTAAGAAATGTCACGAGTGTCACGAAATGTCATCTACTGAAGTCAGACGTGATTCATATCGCAGAAATGCAACGCGACCGGTTTGGAGAGTGACATTTGGAATATTCATTCTCGAGAAAAGCAGTCAAAAACGTATAAAAATACCAATAAGGTACTTTCTACCAATTACTATGCTCCATGGTTCTAAAGTCTTATATACTATACAAATACCAAATAAAATGAAATACTGAATGTAATAAAACTTACCAGGGTAGATGATTAGGAAATTAGATCCACTTGCAATAACGTACACGGTACTATAACCTGTAATAGAAAAGATTATTAAAATCAGATGGAAACAACCAAATTACAATACATAACAACTCTAGCTCGGCTAGAAATGAGATTTACTGTTTAATAAGGCTTAAATGTAAAACGCAATTCGGAACCCTTTGTCATGTAGGACATTAATTGTAGTCCCATCTGAGATTTCACCCGTCCTATAGCTCTACGCCAACAGTGGCAGCCCGCTTGGGCTAAAGTGGAGCACCAGAAAAAGGCCTGTACATAGGCGTGGGCGGTGTTTTACCACCTGGGGCGGTAAAACAAGTACTATTAATGCAATCGTATTATTTCCCATTAGATGACAGAGTAGAACAGATCGAATAAATTCACATAACCTATTATACAGTACTCTGCATCAATATTGTAAGCAGTAAGTCTTGCCTTTACAACCACCGAAGCGATTGCAGATAAGTATACAAATTTGAAAATAATTACGGAACACGTGTTTTCTTTCTCGTAATGAAAGTGAACCAGTGGTGGAGCGCAGTGGATATCTTATTTTTCAGAGTTCCTGACACGTGTGACCACAACAATGTAAATTCCCAAGAAATTTAACTTCATCTTACTTTTAAAATAACCATTGTTGTGGATTGGTCTAGAGATGTTCTAGTGTGTTATAATCGTGTGTTGTATGTTTTGTGGTAAAGCTTTTTGGTGTATTGACACAATATTTTTCAATAACTTCTATTTTGATTCAGGAATAATTATGAGCAGTACCCAGTATGCCTTTAGGTAAATGCACAATTGCCGAAAAAAATAATTAAAAACAGTACGTCAACGCAAATATTAGAACAATTACACCAGAAAGAAAAAACAACACCACACACTTATGGGGCATTTTTCTTGCTCTACCTCAAAAAAATATCAGATACTAACTGGCAGTAAAAGAATGAACTAGTTCAGTTAGTCTAGTTCGTTTTTAGGCCAAGGTAATAATATTTCATAGGCAAAAACTCAATACAAAAGTTTGGAAAGTTTCAAAATACATCAAAGAATACAACAATCAGAACTTTTGAAAAGAAATTATCCAATGTAGTTTCTAGAATTACTCTTCCTGGAATCATCACTACTGAAGAGTCAGTTTCATTAAAAAACTGTAGAGAATTTTGTTAGTCATGAAAAAATAATGAAATTTCCGTTTATTAAGTCACTTTCGCAGCCAGCAGACTAAATTTTCCTATTATGTACGGTACGACTATTTTTTTTTTATTTTTTTCATAAAAATATCCCTTGTAAGGACGTGTCAAACTGCAAATTGATATTTTATTTTTATAAATATTCGGGTTTCACAATATTATGTAAAGCACCTCCTCCTACAAAACCACTATTTCGTATTGCTGCGGGAGAGGGGAGTGGGGAGTCCACAGGGGTGTAGAAAGTGCGCTGAAAACTATTTTCCCAAGTTATTTGTTCTTACGCTATTAAATCATTGTATCATTAGGGCTGAATGAATCTCTCCGCGGTTATAGGTGTTCAGAACGAATGCAGACATTTTACTGAGAACATTTTGACTTCATAGACATTGTCTTGTTACTTATAGCGATTTGTTTCTCGTACTCGCGTATATACGAGCACTAGCAAGATGTTGATAAATCTGATCTCATTCATCAACACACCTCCGTTTCCTTATGGAACATTATCTATGATCTGCATAAAACACTTCAAGCTGTGTCGACTGCATTGGATACGCGGAGCCGGCATTCTCCTACATTCGTATTGAGCACTGAAGAGTTTACCTCAGTACGAGTCGGTATTGCAGGTTGCCTAGCGTGACCGGCCTACGGCGCAGTTTGGTTTCGTTCGTCGCGCTGAGACACTTGCTACCGGCCGCCGCGTCCTTTGGCCGCCAGTCGACTCGCTGCTCGTATTTGTTTCATGCGCGTATTAGCAAGTAAAATTAAAAATGTGTATAGTATGTAAAAATACACGTATGCTACGGAAGATGGATTATATTACCAATAGTTACAATTTATACCAAGATCGAAAGCGTTATTTGACAAAATACTAGGAAGAAATACAGGATTAAAGACGATGAATATTATCCAAGATCAATTAATGCTATTTAAGGGTGCGAAAATAAATTTGTGAAATTATAGACTACTCGAAATGAGACTAGATACCAATTTATCGCTTCGAAAAATATATTATATTTTCATGTCCCATACCAATATATTGCTTCGAAAAATATTATTCAAAATCCGTTCGAAATTTTCCCAACAAATCAATTCTAAAAAAAGCCGATTTCGTCAAAGAAATCTTCCCTACAATTCATAAAAAATCATTGCGGCGTGGAAGAAATGTTAAAAGAAAAATCTGCATTCAAACCCGAACACGTCTTCGATTCAATGAAACAAGAATTTTACAGATATTGTAAGATAGGTAACTCAGAACAAATACATTAATTATCTGAATAAAATCCACATGGTCAAGAAATTAAGGTAAAATGAAAACTGTCTTACATGAAGAATGGCACATACAAGAAACGTTTTGGTGAAAATCTAACACACTCATATGTCTGATTTAAGTGGCATTACGTTTTAGATAGATAAATAACTTTGCAACACGGCACACTTAGTTTTTATATTTGTTTTCGTTGCTTTACTGATTGTGGATGCAATCAGTGGTGGCACCATACAATCTCGTTTATGAAAATGAACGATACACTACAACTTGAATAGTTATTATTTATTTATTTATATAATTTGATATTTTAAGTATTAAAATTCTATTTTGCGTGAAAGATTGTTTTTTTATTACTGGTAAATTATATAAATGCCAAATATCTCAAAAATGAGGCAATGGGAAATTTACATATGGTTTTCTTCACAATATTTTCTAACAATTATTAGATCTCTGAAAGTTGCCGATATTGCTTATTTGTTGCTTATTCGCCTATTGTATTTTGTAATTCGAATGTTGACCACAATATTGTGTGGCCGTTATGTCTGAGATATTTTGTTACGATCTGTATACCGGCACATTCGCCACAAGTTGTCTCTCCCACGTTCACCACATGTTGCTTCGCATATTCACCACCACGCATGTTCACTACATGTTGTCTCGCACGTGGTGAATGTTTCTTCCCATTTTCTCATGATCCCTCCCATGTTAATCCCACGTTCCCTAGCACGTTTAGCACATGTTCCTTCGCATGTTCACTACATGTTCCCTCGCACGTTTCCAGCATGTAACCCACGATTATTGTATGTCTCTGCACCTACTCCATATGAGCCCCTACATGTTCCCTCAAATATTCGTCAAATATTCACCAACATGTTCTTCAAAATGTTTAGTTGAATTTTCCCCTCAATTGTTTCCCAAATCTTACCCTCAGATTCCAGCACTTGTTAATATGAAATTAAACTGAAATTTCAATAACTGAATTTAAGTGATTTCAAAATGATTATATGAATGTTACAGCGGCGTATTAATGCAATGTCTCACCTGCAGAATGAAACTAGACGTCCTTAATAGGAAGAGTACCCAGAAGTGCGAAACCCCCTAAATAGTAATAAATGGGCCCAAAGATTTTTTTATCATTGTTTAAATTTACATCGCACAAAAGTTTAATTTTTTAAATCATTGTTTTAAAAATAAAAATTTATTTTCACTCGAACCTTTGCAGCGCTTTTAGCAATCTGTGTTACAGAGTGACAAAAGTATATAAAAAGTTAATGGATTGTCCACACAGGCTCATTTCGTGAAGTACGTAATAGAAAACATACTTGTGCTCCTTATGACACAAAATACTTGTTTTATGACTCTAGAACGATCGTTTCCGAGTTATACACGATGGTAAAGTGAGTTGCGAAGTAATGTGTTTTGTACGTGCATGTGTGCCTGATAATCCAAATATGCCATAATTGGGAACTTCTATGTTTATCGCATTGAATCTGGTTGACGCACCCATAGGACGAAATTCCTTATCTAGAAGAAATACACTTAAACGGCTTTGTACCTGCAGTTTCGTACAAAATGGAGAAATACGTCATGTTGTTTTAGAGTATTGAATACAGAGGGAATTAACGTGGGAATTGACGAATTAGATAAACATTGCTACATAGAGAGTTCTGATTCAAATGAAACATTACCGACAACGAATGATACACCCTCTCAATGCAATAGATTATGGAATGTCCAGAACATACTAATATATTCTTTCAATTTCACTTAAGAAGTATTATGACTTCGTTAAACGTTGTGTTTCGTGTCTCACATTTATTCATACCTTTTTGAAAGAAAATTTTAAAAAAATGAAGGAAAAAAACGAATAAAAAAGAAAGAGCAACAATCTTTAAATTATATCCGAAATCAACAGCATGTAATGAAATTGAAAAATAGAAAACTGAAAACACATTAAAAGTTTATCGAAAGGTTTAAAAACACCGCGGATAATTTTGTAAATAAATATTAATTAATAATAAATGAATAATAGCTCAGCACAGTGAATTCCTGTCGCCTGTCAATTGTTAGGCAACCCGCTTAACAAGTGTGTGTTATACACTTTCGTGTTGCAGCGATCCCTACAACTGCCTTCTTCCAGAACAGCGAGGAGAACAATGAATTGGAAAGGGAAGATAAAAGCAAGGAAATGTGGAGAAGAAATACGAGAAAGAACAAGAAAGTACAGAAGAAAGGATAAAATAACAGAGAGAAGTAAGAAGATAAGAAAAAGAAAACCGTAAATAAATGCGAGGAAGATAATATGTGTGAGCAATCAGTTATATTGATAAGCGCTTAATATCAAACAAAGAGGGACTTTTTGCACGGCATAGCGTAGTGCAATCCTCTGCATCCTCGATCTTCTGCGCATGCGCAGAAGCACAAAAGATCTGCGAAACTCGAACCGCGCATGCGCAGATCGAAAGTGCTGTCGATTGATGTATCGCTTCGTCGAGCAAAAACCTCCCTAATACTCGTGTTGCAGAAGAGTTACTCCAAGAAAGAACTACTTTGGCAAGTCGGGAAATAAATGAACG